GGGGGGGGGGGGGGGGGGTCTGCTGGCTGCGTCCCCCCTACTTCTGTCTGCTCCATTGCTGCTGCCTCCAGGGATCAGAGCAGCTCCCCGCTCCCCACTCCGTCCCCTGTGTCACCACCATCACGGCAGTGTTCTGCTGCAGTGCCACCTCCTGTCTGAACACTGTATTCGCACTCTGATTGGTTGTTTCTGTCAGCCAATCAGAGTGCGAATAAAGCATTATGGACAGACAGACTACGGCTTTTATAATATTAGAATTCATTTTTTAACTGATTCTATAACACCAAAAATCAAATTGGTTTTTGCCATGGACTTCAATGAAAGAATCAAATCCATGGTAACCTCTGATGACAGCATTTTACCTATCTTCTTCAGTCTCAGTACTCAACTCAAGCCGAGCAAAGGCATCCATCCTTCTGTTTAGACGTGCTTTAAGAAAAGAGTGAAACATGTATGTCTCCAACACCTGCAACAGAAGTAAACTGAAATCAATTGCTGACCATAGCAATACATGGTGTAGTAGTACTTATTTTCATTGTCCCAAGGGAATTATGTTTTAAAACCTTAGATGTACACAATGTTAAGAGCGCACACCTCAGTAACGAAACTGAAATGTAAAATTTAATCAATTGTATCATTATACACCAGGAGTGGGAAATTATGTGGGCCTGAGGGCCACATAGGGAGTTTTGATCAGCTGCCATGGGCTGGGTCAACACCGTCACCACAACCCCAGCCCTGCAACAACTCACCAAAACTCCCTACGGGGCTGTGGGCGTGTATGTGTATGTGAAGGGGGGACTGCCTGGGCGCTAGGTGCCAGGAGCCTGCTGTGGGGAGGGCAGCTGCCCTGGGTGGTGCAATCCGCACTTCCTCTGCGGCACTCCGCATGGGGACATGCTCCGCCCGCTTGCACTGGGACAGCCTGTGCCATGGTCCCACTGGCGCTCACAGCCCAGCTGGGGGCTGCTCTGCACCCCCACCTCCAGTTCCGGGATCTGGACCCAGAGCCCCACGCACCTGCTGGGAGTGGCGCACCACAGTGCAGCAGGAGCAAGAGGAAGAGTTGGTGCTGGTGGTGGGGGGCACAGAGCAGCGCTCAGCTGGCTGTAGCTGCCCTTGCCCAAGGAGCTATTGCCTTGACACTGGAGCTGAGGCAAATGTCGTCTACTAGGACTTTAAGAAGGCCTTCGATACTGTTTCGCATCCTATTCTCATAAGAAAGCTAGCAGGCCGTGGAAGGATGTTTATACAGACAGGTGCGTGGCAAACTGGCTTAGGGACCGTACCCAGGAAGTGGTGGTGGATGGGTCGTTTTCAACCTGCAAAGAGGTGGGCAGTGGTGTCCCGCAGGGATCGGTCCTTGGACCGGTGTTATTTAATATCTTCATCAGCGATTTGGACGAGGGTGTGGAGAGCTCCCTGTCCAAGTTCACAGATGACACCACATTATGGGGCAAAGTTAACACACCGGAGGGCAGGGAGTGGATTCAGGCTGATCTGAACAGGTTGGATCAATGGGTAGAACAAAACAGGATGCAATTCAACAAAGACAAATGCAAGGTACTCCACCTAGGGAGGAGGACACCCCAGCACACCTATAGGTTGGGGGATGACCTCTTCAGCAGCTCAGCAGCTGAGAGGGATCTTGGAGTCATGACTGACTTCAAGATGAACATAAGCCAACAGTGTAACAAAGCCACGAACAAAGCCAATCACACCTTGTCGTGCATTAGCAGATGCATGACCAACAGACTGAGGGAGGTAATCCTCCCTCTCTACGTGGCACTAGTCAGGCCGCAGCTGGAGTACTGTGTCCAGATCTGGGCACCGCACTTCAAGAGGGATGCGGAGAATCTGGAGAGGGTTCAGAGGAGGGTCACTCATAGGGTTTTGTACGGAGGCCACTAAACATACAAGGGAAGGTTGAGAGATCTGGATCTCTTCAGCCTTCACAAGAGACATCTGAAGGGAGACCTTGTAGCAGCCTATCAGTTTATCAAGGGAGGACAACAGAGAGTTGGAGATGTGCTATTTACCAAGGCACCCCTAGGAGTAACTAAGAATAATGGGTACAAACTAGTGGAGAGTAGATTCAGGTAAGACATTAGAAAGAAATTCTTCACAGTAAGGGTGGCCAGAATCTGGAACAGGCTGCCAAGAGAGGTGGTACTATCACCCAACTTGGAGGGTCTTCAAGAGGAGGCTAGACAGGACCTCGGTCCTTTTCCTGCCTGGGGCAGGGGGTCGGACACGATGATTCTTCAGGGTCCCTTCCGACTATGATCTATGAACCTATGAAGCACACAGGGCTTCGGCTCCAGCTCCCAGAAAGGTGGCTGGGAACTGAAGCCAGAGCCCCAGCGCTGGGGTAGGAGTCAACTGGCTGAAGCTGCTCACCCACTTGCCTGGAATGGTGTAATATGGCACAGCAAGGCACAGTGCAGCAGGGGCAGGAGCAGATTCTGGAGGGCTGTTCCCAATGTGGCTGCAGCTGGCTAGGTGCTGCTCTGCGCCCCCCGCCTCCAGCAGCAGCTTCTCCTCTGGGACCAGGGCCGGCAGGTGCCAGCGGGAGCCTGGTGCAGGCTGCCCCAGCGCAATCAGGCAGGGCATGGCCCCATGTGGAGTGCCATGGCAGGCAGCCACAAGCTGTATCCAGTCACCTGGTGGGCCGGACCCAGCCCATGGGCTGTATTTTGCCCACCCGTTTTATACAATTGGCGTCATTACACACCCTATAATTTTATCCCATTATAACCAGAAAAAGATAACTAATGCTTATGAGTAATACCAACAGAATGTCAGTGAATTCATCATAAATGTGCATTAGAGAAAAAAAATTATATGTAGGAATTTCTGCCAAAACAAACATAGCTAATCACCAGTATGTTCCAATTCAACATGCAGCTTTATATGCCCTCAGGAAATTTCACATAATCAGTTCATCTGAGTGTTTGACTTAAAATCTATTTGTAACTTTATTTTCCCCACTAGATGGCACGCTATGCTGGAAATTGTATGCATTTTGCTAACTGGTAGCAACAGCTGATCTAATTCACCCTTTTAATTTTTACTCTTACTTAATGCAAAATGCTGCTACTCACTTTTCAGTGTGGCAATCCAATTTGATTTGCTTAAAATCAAAACACATCATTAGTTTTGTTTCATTTTGGGTGTTTCGGGGTTTGTTTGTTTTTTACTTAGCATCTTCCCAATTTGCAAGTAATTAGAGGTTGGCTCGTACCTTAGAGCATAAACATGGTGTTGGCCAGCTGCTTGTGGGGAACTCACCCTTCAGGAATAAGCTTTATTTGTTCTGGAATTGGGTAACAACATTTTGGAGGGCAAGAATGCTGTCACCATGCCTACAGATTTTTTTAATTAAACAAAAATCTAGTCATCTTGTTGCAAGAGCTTAAAGTTCAGAACCGAACCATCAAGGATGGAATTGGAGGGAGGAAAAGAACACAAGACTCCTATGAACACTGACCTGGGTTAAGGGAGCACTGTTGATGGAAGACAACTATACATCTTTATGATAACTTTGGGGGATTGGGTGCATTTTTCAATGTTAAATCTGTTATTTGATAAGTTGGATTCATGAATAAAATTTTTTAAAAGTTCAAAACAATTAGTCCAAAATTTCTACAGTTTTAGTTAAAGTTTTTGCCAGAAGAATAAAATAAACCAACAAAAGACTGGAGTATGCCTAAAGCTGAATTTACCTTTTTGTAAAATGGCTGATCCCCTGGGGCTCTTGTTTTCAGAAACTCTTCACTATTGAACACTCTGTGTTCATAATTTAGATGGTCTTTTACCTCCCTGTTAATAAACAGCATATTGTAAGTCTGGAGATTTCTAAGAGCAATGCATTTTATGCTGACCCACTTGTTCTAATATACACACAGCGTAATGTCAGAAGGCAAATTCAACCCTTCTTGGCTACTGAATCAAAGAAAATTGATGCAGAATTTTGTAACCAGGACTCAGGCAGGCTACCCACAACCACTGACAATTTTCATCAATAAAAGGCAGGGGATAAATGTTCGGTTTTTCCTCCCTGCTGAGCTCCCATGCAGAACCAGCTCTTTATTTGTGTCATGATTTTTTCATCCCAATCCCCACAGGTAGATTTTTGCACCTGCACAGAACCCCCACTTCAGGGCACTCTCCAGACACAAGAAACTGCCTAAGAAATTCTGACAGCAGGGTCAGAGCTTTATTTTCCCCCCTCACATTGCATCTGCATGCTACAAAGCAGTACAAATTATCTAGCACCTTCCAATACGCTCAGAAACTAACTTTACTGCTAACCACATTAACCAAAGGAGAGGCAAATGGTTAAAGAACAGATGTATATTAAGTTTATACATGGTCACAACAGGAAGCAGAAGTACTATCCTGGTCCCTGAAAACCAGGGGTGATGTGCTTCAGAGAGGGTGCAAAAAGCAAGCTGCTTTAGAAACAAGCAGAAAATTGCCAGAGGGTTATACCTGAAACCAACAGCTGCTGGTAAAAAAATATGAGATTTTTTATTCTAGACCTATGCATACTTTGGTGAGTAAAAGAAAGTCTTTCTTTTGTTTTTACATTCATTACTGATTCATGCCTATTACCAAAGTCATTCTTAAGGAGGGATTTGAATGAAAGAGATGAACTGTTCAGTGAATCAATTTGGAACCGCAAGCTGGGGGAATTTCATGGCCATGTCCTGGGCGTGCACAAGGCCAACATTTATATCCTATGATCCCTACTGACTTCCTGCCCCTGGGACAGGGGGATGAACTCAGTGATCCTCCAGGGTCCCTTCCAGCCCTAGTGTCTATGAAATCTATGAATACCATGTCAACTCTAATATAACATAAGAGCCTTGTGCTAACCCTGAATATCAAGTGCAACTTTCATCCACTGAGCGTTAAGAAAACAGATATATATTATGGAGCCACTGTCTGTGTACACACACACCATATATCATATACCATTTACATATACAATGGATGAAAGCTACACTTGATGTTCAAGCTCAGCACAAGGCGCAAACACCTCTACCTTCTTGCTGAACTCAAGAGGTACTGTGGCACCCTCAGACATGTACAAATCCATGGGCCTCCTGAATGGAGAGTTACAGTGAAATGCTCTGTTTAGGTGAGGGAGCCTATTAATGTACAGCCTTAAGTTCTCAGAAGCAGGAGAGCAACTGGGTCACTGCCAGAGAAGAAAGAAACGTGGCTGTAGTCCAAGAAAATTGGATATCCAGAGCTTGGCTAGTACGTTTTACTGCAACTAAAATAAATTTGTTTCTGTTCAAACCTACAACCTTGTGTTAACAAGGATAACTTTGGTGGAACTAAATGGGATGTTTTCCCAACTTTGAAAGGCAGATTACAACAGGTTTCAGGGGTAAAGATTTTGAAACTCTACTGAATCCAAGCCAAAACTGCAAGAGTTCTTTCATCCACCACCAAGATGCTAAATGAAATCTTTAACATGAACTTTATCTTACGGCTAGTGATATCTGTAACTATAGAGAACAGCATTTGAACAGATCACTTCAGTTCCTCTTTTGTTTTAAAATGTTACCACATGCGGGGACAGACTCCATGACACAGCAGCAATGGTGTCAATGGGCTGCAAAGACTGAACTCTACATCACACAGCATGTGTGCAGCTGCCCAGTTCGAAGCAACCCGCCTCTCTCAGAAACCACACATTTTCATTGCTGCGCAGGATCCATTGGCCAAGGTCTCCTAAGCTTATTTTTGTGCCTTGCAATCTGTGAGCCTGCAAGAAATCGATGTGACCATTAATGCTATTATTTAGGAACATCTGCCTGGAAAAGACACGTGGTCATCAAGTCCAGGTGCCTGCTATCAAACACAAACATCTCATATAAACCTAATCTTAAAATGTATCAAGCTTCCTCTTAAAAATTAGGTTGCTTGTAGGGGTGCACTGATAAAGATTTTCTCAACTGATACCAACAGCAGATTAACCAGCCATATTGGCTAGTACCGATCTGAACCCAGCCATCTAGGAGCCCCGGCCCTGCAAGCAAGAGGAAACCCAGGCATATGGGGGCCCCAGCCAGAAGGCATAAAAGTATCAGAGTACATTATCAGCTACAAAAGCCTAAAAAAGCTGACAGCCAATAATGTAAATTTCCCTTTTATTGGTGCCTATCCGATAGGCAACTGATATTTCTGGTGCACCTCTAGATGTATGTTCCAACCATTCTTACTAAAAAGGTTGTTCCAAAACCTTATTCCCCTAATGTTAAAAAGCTCGCCCCAATTTTCAATCTACATTTAACCCTGGACGGCTTTTACCTGTTTGTTTGTTCTTGTACAAACATTGCCCCTTACCTTCAATAGCTCTTCTCTCTCCTTAACATTTACTTCCCATGATGTATTTAAAGAGAGAAGCTGTATTCTGCTGGTCTAAGCAAGCCAAACCCGTTTAGCTTCCTCTTATTATACAAGTTCTCCATTCTGATGATCATACTAGCATGGCTGGCCAGAATTGTACACAGGGTTCTAGCTTTTTTTTTAAAACAAGACTACAACCTAAACCCCCCCTACACCCCTCCCTCCCCCACCAAATCTGTAACATTCAGACTGTACCTCTCTCATCTTGGTTTTTTACTGTGAAAGGGCAGGGGTTTATTTCTCAGAATGCAACAAATTATTTGGGGTACTAATCTAAAGATAGGGATGTCAAATTCATCCTCCCCCAAATGCAGCACCCACTCAGATCTGTGCTACATATGGCACATGTGGCATCTGGTCTGGGGCTGCCCCGAATGCAATGCCTGCTTCTTTTGTGGGTTGTGGACTGGCTAGAGTGGGCACCACATATGGTACATATCCAGTTGGAGGGGACTGGCCACCACAAATTGATCAATCCTGGCTCAGTCGCAGACTGGCCAGAACGGGTACTGTGCGCGGCACAGAACCCGGAGTAAGCATATCACCCCTACACTGTGCACAGGGCTGGTGCAGTGTGCACCCCATGGGTCTGTTTGGAAGTTGGTACAGCACCAGGGGCTGGGTGTTGGGGCTCCACGGGCTGCATCTTTGACACCCCTGATCTGAAGTATCTTACAATGAAGCTATTCCCTAATATATGTTAGATGCTGACAAACTCTAGCCACTGTACTAAGAGAGCACAAGTTAACTGTTATATTCCTTCACTAAATCTAGAGACTTGTTGTATCTGTAAAAGTACAGTAAAAGCTGCATTATCCGGCATCTTACAAGCTGGAATGCTCGATTAACTGGCACACCGGCTTGTAACGTAAAAGCGAAAACAAAAAAGTACCCACTGTGGCACTTCCCATTTCGCTGAGACCCTACTGTCTGGGGCATAGCAGCCTGGGGCATAGCAGCCTGCGCGGGGCCTGGCTCCCTGTCCCTTGGGGCCCACGGGAGAGGCGGCAACGCTCCGGATGCAGCGGCCCAAACAGGCAAAGATGCCTGTTTGGGACTCTCAGGTAACCCACGTGTTTTGTTATCCAGCATCCCCCATTCCCCATGGGTGCCGGATAACAAAGCTTTTGCTGTATTTCCATTGTTACTGGAGGTATAGGTCTTAATTCACAATAGAGATTTATGCCATATATCATCACTTACCTGAAGATGTTAAAAATTAACTGCAGAGTGATCTGCTGAATTTCAGTATTCAGCTTTTGCTGCCAAGCCCTTTTACGCATTTGTAGCTCACTGAGGTTTATACCGGAGGTTAGGTGGCAGAGTTCTAGATCATAATGCAATTGAAGGCTCTCCACCCTAAGGCAGGATGAGGGAAAAAAAATAAAAAATTTGCAATTTTTCTAAGTTCC